ATCTCGGCTCACCGCAACCTCCGCCTCCTGGGTTCAGGCAATTCTCCTGCCTCAGCCTCCTGAGTAGCTGGGATTACAGGCACGCACCACCATGCCCAGCTAATTTTTTGTATTTTTAGTAGAGACGGGGTTTCACCGTGTTGACCAGGATGGTCTCGATCTCTTGACCTCATGATCCACCCGCCTCGGCCTCCCAAAGTGCTGGGATTACAGGCTTGAGCTACCGCGCCCGACCCTTTTTTTTTTTTTGAGACAGATTCTCACTCCATCACCAGGCACCGGGGTGGAGTGCTGTGGCATGATCTTGGCTCACTGTAACCTACGCTTCCCGGGTTCAAGCAATTCTCCTGCCTCAGCCTCCCTAGTAGCTGGACAACAGGTGCACACCACCATGCCCTGCTAATTTTTGTATTTTTAGTAGAGAAAGGGTTTCACCATGTTGGCCAGGATGGTCTCGATCTCTTGACCTTGTGATCCTCCTGCCTCGGCCTCCCAAAGTGCTGGGATTACAGGTGTGAACCACCGCGCCCGGCCCAAAAAGTCACTTTTAAATTGAAATAAAGCCTGTCTTTTTTGGTGTTTTTTTGGGGCCTCTGTGCCCTTTCTAGTGTTTGAAGTCACCTTGAGTCATATTTTTTTCCTAAATTCTTCCACCTTTATTTATTTATTTATTTATTTGTTTGTTTGAGACAAGAGTCTTGCTCTCACCCAGGCTGCAATGCAGTTCTGCCATCTCGGCTCACTGCAACCTCTGCCTCCCAGGTTCAAGCAATTCTCCTGCCTCAGCCACCTGAGTAGCTGGGACTACAGGCACGTGCCATCACCCCTGCTAATTTTTATGTTTTCAGTAGAGACAAGATTTCATCATGCTGGCCAGGCTGATCTTGCACTCTTGACCTCAAGTGATCCACCCACCTTGGCCTCCCAAAGTGCTGGGATTACAGGTGTGAGCTACCACTAACGGCCTAACATTTTATAAATGTTCTTAATTACCAAACATAAAAAATAATTTTTGGTTGGGTGTGGTGGCTTATGCCTGTAATTTCAGCACTTTGGAAAGCTGAGGCCAGAGGATTGCTCGAGACCAAGAGTTTGAGACTAGCCTGGGCAATATGGCAAGACTTGTCTCTACAAAAAAATAATAAAAATTAGCCAGGTGTGGTTGTGCCTACCTGTAATCCCAGTTACTCTGGAGGTGGTGGTGAAAGGATTCCTTGAGCCCAGTAGGTTGAGGTTGCAGTGAGCTGTGATTGCACCACTGGACTCTAACCTGGGCAACAGAGCAAGACCTTGTCTTAAAATATATATATATATTTTTATTGTTGGAATGAGACAGTGCTTAACATCAATTGTTACTGACTTTTTTAATTTTTAAGGATATAAGTTCTGATTAACACATATAAATAAGTCAAAGGGAGCCAGGCATAGTGGCTCACACCTGTAATCCCAGCACTTTGGAAGGCCAAGGTGGGCAGATTGCCTGAGCTCAGGAATTTGAGACCAGGCTGGGCAATGTGGTGAAACCCCTTCTTTACAAAAAATACGAAAAAAATAGCCAGACGTGGTACACACCTGTAGTCCAAGCTACTTCGGGGGCTGAGGTGGGGAGATCACTTGAGTCTGGGAGGTTGTGGTGCAGTGAGCCAAGATGGCGCCATTGCACTCCAGACTGGGTGACAGAGCAAGACCCTGTCTCCAAAAAAAGTCAGAGAGTGTAAGTAGCTTTGTTATAGCAATGTCATTACATTCTTTGAATTTATTCCTAAATATATGCTAAGATCATACAGTATAAGAAATTATTTTTAATTATCTGTCAGTGGGCAATTCGGGCTATTATTCAATTTTTTTGTTTTATTCAATATTTTGTATTTATTAATCTAAGAATAAAGCATTAAATCCATTTTTCTTGAGCATTTAAACATGATTATCAATTTGATTAATTCCTTTAAGCAATTTAAATTTCAATTATAACTTTAGTATGACTTACTCACTTTAACACTTCAAATACTGAAATAGCAAACAAAATGTTATTACAAAATGTGTTATCACAGTAATACTCAAAACTTATTCTAGGCCGGGTGCGGTGGCTCAAGCCTGTAATCCCAGCACTTTGGGAGGCCGAGGCGGGGGGATCACGATGTCAAGAGATCGAGACCATCCTGGTCAACACGGTGAAACCCCGTCTCTACTAAAACTACAAAAAATCAGCTGGGCATGGTGGCGCGTGCCTGTAATCCCAGCTACTCAGGAGGCTGAGGCGGGAGAATTGCCTGAACCCAGGAGGCGGAGGTTGCGGTGAGCCAAGATCGCGCCATTGCACTCCAGCCTGGGTAACATGTGAAAAACCGCGTCAAAAAAAAAAAAAAAAACTTATTCTAAAGCATCAGTATGACGTTAATTCATTATTTCTAAACTTGTTTTTATATTTTTTATTGTTATTATGCTATTTTAGTTATTTCCTAGGATTTTAATAATACAGCTAGTGCTTGACTTACAACCATGATTGGGACCGGCAGACCGGTTGTAACACAATTTGGTCGTAAGTTGAGTAGGCTATATGTACAGTTGAAATGGTGCACACGGAGATGGTAGTGCTGCCGGAAGCTGGTCCACACTGTCATACGCCCAACTGGGCAACGTTTGCTCTGCCAGACGCGGAGCAGCCGTGGCGATTGTGGTCGTAAAGTTGAATGGTCATAAGTTGCATAGGTCGTAAGTCGATAAATACCTGTATTTTGATTACTTCCATGTTTTTAGTCATCAGCCTTCCTCTCCCCAAAGAAGGAAAAATGATTATCATATTAAGATAGTCAAAGTGGCCTGGCGCGGTGGCTCATGCCTGTAATCCCAGCACTTTGGGGGACTGAGGTGGGCGGATCACGAGGTCAAGAGATTGAGACTATGCTGGCCAACATGATGAAACCCTGTCTCTATTTAAAAAAAAAAAGGAAAAGAAAAGATATTCAAAGTTACAGATGATTCTTTGTCAAGTGTGACATCTAGTTGCATAGTCCTGGGAAATTGGATCCTGAGCCATTGGCCATTAGGTGGTGTCTTATTTTATTTTTGAGATGGAGTCTTGCTCTGTCACCCAGGCTGGAGTGCAGTGGCGTGATCTCAGCTCACTGCAACCTCCACCTCCTGGGTTCAAGCAATGCTGTCTCAACCTCCTGAGTAGCTCGATTATAGGCGCCTGCCACTGTGCCTGACTAATATTTGTATTTTTAGTAGAGATGGAGTTTCACATGTTGGCCAGGCTGGTTTGTACTCCTGAACTTGTGATCTGCCTGCCTCAGCCTCCCAAAGTGCTGGGATTACAGGCATGAGCCACTGCGCCCGGCTGGAGTCCCTTTTTATGATGAAGTTTTACTTGTTACTTGATGGTACTTATAGGTTTTTGTCCTTTAAAGTTTTTTCAGCTTGGCTTATCTTCCTCTCCCCACCTACCTTTTTATTTTGAAAGTTTCCATCTGGGTGCAGTGGCTCATGCCTGTAATCCCAGCACTTTGGGAGGTTGAGGCAGGTGTATCACAAGGTCAGGAGATCGATACCATCCTGACTAACATGGCGAAACTCTGTCTCTACTAAAAATACAAAAAATTAGCCAGGCGTGGTGGCACGCACCTGTAGTTCCAGCTCCTGGGGAGGCTGAGGCAAGAGAATCACTTGAATCTGGGAGGTGGAGGTTGCAGTGAGCCAAGATCGCGCCATTGCATTCCAGCCTGGGTAACAAGAGCAAAACTTCATCTCAAAAAAAAAAAAAAGAAAAGAAATTGAAACTTTCAAGACCCCAGAAAAGATAGGAGACAGACTGTGGTGAATACCCACATACCTTTCACCTAAGGTCACTGGTTTTTTGCTCAGCATACTTCTTAAATGATGTTGCTGAGGCTGAAAGCGGTAGCTAAGGCATGATAACTGAGTGGTGTTTCTGTCATTTTCCGTGTTTGGAATGCTAACCTTCTAGGGAGTCTGAGATTGTTTTCTGGATGTCGTACTGTTGACCCACATTGAACTTGTCTTTCATAAACTCTCCAATGCCCTTTTTATGTACATGCAAATATGTTTTGTTATATTTTTCTGTAGTGTGAACAATTTATTTTGGGGCTTTTGATAGCTTTTGCTACTTAATATTAAAGCTGTTAGTATTGGAGCTTGGAACACCACCTGAATAAGTTTATTGCTCATTCCATATGATGTTTTGTCACAGAGTGATTTGCCCCGAATCAAAACGGAGATTGATGCCTTGAAGAACCTGAGACATCAGCATATATGTCAACTCTACCATGTGCTAGAGACAGCCAACAAAATATTTATGGTTCTTGAGGTTAGTAGTATGTTCTAGAGACCTGAAAATATTTGGTCACTTAATAGTAAAAGACAAAAGTACATTTCACCTTTAAGTTTAGAATAGATGTTAAGTGGCTTATCTGTTTTGCTCCATTTGTAACAATTTAGATCAAGTAGATGTATATAATAAATGGGAGATTCAGTATAAATGTCATCTTTCTAATACACCCCTAATGGGGTAGTATGGTTTAGTAGATAGAATATGTTAGAATTTGCTCCCAGAGGGAAAGACTCATTCCAGTTTTATATGGTATATTAATTCCCTAGGGCTGTTGGAACAAATTACTACAGACTTGGTGGCTTAAAGTAACAGAAACTTATTGTCTCTCAGTTTTGGAGGTTGGAAGTCTGAAATCAAAATGTGGGCAAGGCTGGTTCCTTCTGGAGGTTCTGAGGGGGAATCTGTTTCCTCCCTCTTTCCTGGTTTCTGGTAGTTGCTGGCAGTCCTTGGCACTCCTTGGTTTATAGATGCACCACTCCCATCTTGGCCTCTGTCTTCAAAGGGTGTTTTCCTCTCTGTGTGCTGTGTCTCTGTCCAAATTTCTCTCTTCTTAAAAGGCCCCAAGGATTAGGTTTACCCTGATCCAAAAACAGTTCAACCCACAGCACATGGTAGCTTCCACTGTCTGTTATGTAAATCAAGCAATTTCAAGTTTTAACCTGCCCTTTTTGTCTTGAAGGATGTCTTTAGAACTTGTATTATTCAACTTGTTTTGTTTTTGTTAGTCTCAGCCAAATAATATGCAAAAGGCTGATCTCAAACTTCTGACCTCAGGCAATCTGCCCACCTTGGCCTCCCAAAGTGCTTGGGATTACAGGAATGAGCCGCTGCGCCTGGCCCTCAAATTTTCTTTTCTCTGAGTCATTTACGTATTTTTCTTGAGTCTCTTGTAGATACCTATGTATATTTTATACATATGTGTATTTTATATGTGTGTTTGTGTAGCCTACTGGTTTCTATCACACAAATGATCACAAATTTTAGTATTATTTTGCATTTTGCTTTTTTCCCATGTAACATTTTATCTTAGAGACCATCTATGCACATTCAGATATTTTAGACGTTTTTGTCTGTATTTTGTATTTCTTATTTGAAAATATGAAGTAGGCTGTTTTTGTAAAACTTACTGGATAATCGTTAAAACATTTACTATTGAGGTATAATTTACATATAATAAAATGTACACATTAGGTATGCAGTTTGACAAATGTGTATACTCATGTACCTCCCACCGCAGTCAAAATATAAAGCATCTGTCACCTCAGAAAGTTTTCTCCAGCCCTTATAAAATTTTCCGTGTAATCATAACCACCCTGCCCTTACCAGCAACTATTCATCTGTTTTCTATCACTGCAGATTAGTTTAATCTGCTCTAGAATGTGATGTAAATGACTCATACAGTATTCTTTCGATTATTCTTTTGTTTGGCTTTTTTTCCTCAGCATAATACTTTTGCAAGCCACTATATCAATCTATACTGTTTTATTAACTTAATACTGGACATTGTTCCATATCAGTTTGTAAAGAGCTTCCTCTTTTTATTTTTTAACTGCCTAGAATTCCATTCCATATCATAGTTTATACAGTATCAGCATTTAGGTCTAAATGCTGGTGTTCCCTACAAATTCATATGTTGAAACTTAATCCCCAGTGTGATAGTATTAAGAGGTGGGGTTGTTTAAGGAAGTGATTAGGTCATGAGAGCAGAGGACTTAGGAGTGGGATTAGTGCCCTTATACAAGAGGCTTTAGGGGGCCTATTTGCTCCCTTCTACCACATGAGAATACATAGCACATGCCAACTGTATGCAACAGGACCTCACTAGACGCTGAATCTACTGGCACCTTGATGTTATACTTCACAGCCTTCAGAACTGTGAGCAGTACATTTCTGTTGCTTAGAAATGACCCAGCGTGTTTTGTTATAGCAGCCCAAATGGACTAAGACAGTTGTTTCTAGTCTTTTGCTTTTACAAATACTGGTGCTGTAGTAAATGCTTTAAGGTACTTTGTTGTTGTTGTTGTTGTTTGTTTGTTTTTTTGAGACAGAGTCTCACTCTGTCACCCAGGCTGGAGTGCAATGGCGCAATCTCTGCTCATTGCAACCTCTGCCTCCCAGGTTTGAGTGATTCTCCTGCCTCAGCCTCCTGAGTAGCTGGGCTTACAGGTGCCCACCACCGCACTGGCTAATTTTTTGTATTTTTAGTAGAGACAGGGTTTCACCATGTTGGCCAGGCTAGTCTTGAACTCCTGACCTCAAGTGATCCACCTGCCTTGGCCTCCCAAAGTGCTGGGATTACAGATGTGAGCCACTGTGCCTGGCCAAGGTACGGTTTTTTGATATGAGTGAGTACATCTGTAAGAGCAGTAACTAAATGTGCAACTGTGAGGTCAAATCTGTATACATTTGTAATTTTAATTGATATTGCTAAAATGAAAACCCAGCTTACAGAAAAGTGGGGCTGTCCTGGAAAAGGGATGGGAAGCCTCGAGCTTTGTGCTCCGGCGCCTGTTCTGCAGCCTCTGAGATACCTCTGTAGACCTGGGCTCCTGGTACAGATTGAAAACCACTGGTCTTTGGGATGGAGAAACAATAATTATTGCTGGGTTTTAAAATTTCAGGTAATTACACTAAATGAGAGTGCATTAAGATCAGAATGGGTTTTAATACTTTGCTATAAAAATATAAAACCCTGGGTGAGCTTTTTAAAATCACAGTGGTAGTTGGTTTTACTTCTACTTACTGTGATAAAACTGTTCAAGGAAAGAGTTATTGTTCTCATTCCTGGAGTCATTATTGACTTGTTTGATCCTGAGAGTGTATTTTTGAATATGCCTTACTCAGTTCCCTTGCTTATAAAGTCAAATTAATAATATCTCTGAGTTAAGTGTACTTTTTAATTTTAAATTTCCGTGAAGTGGTTTTTGTAAGTTGTAACGATATCTGTGATTCTGTTGCTGTTGAAGTACTGCCCTGGAGGAGAGCTGTTTGACTACATAATTTCCCAGGATCGCCTGTCAGAAGAGGAGACCAGGGTTGTCTTCCGTCAGATAGTATCTGCCGTCGCTTATGTGCACAGCCAGGGTTATGCTCATAGGGACCTCAAACCAGTAAGTGACTGCATCACAGTTAGATGCTTACCTGAGAGTTCAACATCATTTACCTGTGATTTTTAGGTTTCCAAATGATCTGTTTAGATATCTGTCTTAGGTTTGCTTCTTTTTGTTGTTGTTGTTCCCGTCATAATCTATGACATTTCTTACTTTTACTATTTTTAGTAGAGATGGGGTTTCAACATGTTGGCCAGGCTGGTCTTAAACTCCTGACCTCAGGTAATCCAACTGCCTTGGCCTTCCAAAGTGTTGGGATTACAGAGATGAGCCACTACACTTGGCCTTTTTTCCTCTTACTTTTGACTTTGGAAGGTGTTTTGTTTTTTCTGTTGTCCAAACAGGAGTGCAGTGGTGTAATTTTGTCTTACTGCAGCCTTGATCTCCAGGGCTCAAGTGACCCAACCACCTCAGCCTCTTAAGTAGCTGGGAGGACAGGTGCACACCACTATGCCTAATTTTTTTTTTTTTTTTTTTGAGACAGAGTCTCACTCTGTTGCCTAGGCTGGAGTGCAGTGACATGATCTCAGCTCACTGCAACCTCCACCTCCCAGGTTCAGGTGATACTCCTGCCTCAGCCCAGGTAGTAGCTGGGATTACAGGCATGCATCACCATGCCCGGCTAATTTTTGTATTTTTAGTAGAGATAGGGTTTCACCATGTTGGCTAGGCTGGTCTCCACCATTCCTAGCCAGTTTTTTAATTATTTGCAGAGATGGGGTTTCACCATGTTGCCCAGGCTGGTCTTGAACTCCTGAGCGCAGGGTGTCCTTTTGCCCTGGCCTCCCAAAGTGCTGGGATTACAGGTGTGAGCCACTACTCCTGGCCTTGGTAGGCTTTTTGGATGCATTTATGAGCATTTTGTATATCTGTCAATTGTGTGTGACTTTATAAATGTTTTTTTTTTTTTTGAAACAGGGTCTCACTCTGTCACCCAGGCTGGAGTGCAGTGGCATGATTAGGGCTCATTCACTGTAGTCTCAACCTCTTGGGCTCAAGTGTTACTCCCAACTCAGCCCGCCGAGTAGGTGGGACTACAGGTATATGCCACCATGCCCAGCTAATTTTTTGTATTTTTATTTTATTTCATTTTATTTATTTATTTTTTTTGAGACTGAGTCTTGCTCTGTTACTCTGGCTGGAGTGCAGTGGTGTGATCTTGGCTCACTGCAACCTTTGCCTCCCGGGTTCAGGTGATTCTCCTGCCTTAGCCTCCTGAGTAGCTGGAATTACAGGTGCTCGCCACCATGCCTGGCTAATTTTTGTATTTTTAGTAGGCATGGGGTTTCACCATGTTGGTGAGGCTGGTCTTAAACTCCTGACTTCAAGTGATCTGCCTGCCTCAGCCTCTCAAAGTGCTGGGATCACAGGTGTGAGCCACCACACCTGGCTGGAAACTATCTTTTTCCATCTGTTTATACTGAACTTGTCAATTTGAACTCACTCTTTTGGTTTATATTTGCTTTTGGCACAAATTGTGTTTGCTTGTAGTTGACCCTCAGAACACCAAGGAGAAAATGATTTATGCTAGTAAGTCTTTTGGGGAAGTGATAGAGTGATCAACATTCCTCCTCTTTTCCCTTCTATACATCTTGTCATTTCATTAATTTCTAGTCATTTTTGGTTTGTTGTACCCATACTTTTTAATAAAAACAACTTTAAATCATTTTTACTCATTTTAATTAATTAATTTATTTAAAAAAAATGAGACCAGGTCTTGCTGTGTTGCCCAGGCTGGTCATGAACACCGGGTTCAAATGATCCTCTCATCTCTGCCTCCCAAAGTGCTGGGATTACTGCCATGAGTTGCCATACCTGGCCTTAAATCATTTTTAGAAATAGCTAGAAGTGGAGTGTGATATAAGGAAGTCAGTATATGATTATCAAAATATCTTTGTTTTCCCAGGAAAATTTGCTCTTTGATGAATATCATAAATTGAAGCTGATTGACTTTGGTCTCTGTGCAAAGCCCAAGGTAAGTGCAGAAATAAGATGCATCTATGTTCTTTGTAAATGTATTTATTTCTTAGTGTGTGATTTGGTCCTGACTTCCACTTAGTCTTTATTGAGCTTGGTTGCATCCATTGAGAAGAATGTTAAATTTCATTTCTGGTATCAGTAGTTTTGTAAGTTCTCTAGATGATCATAACATGCAATCAAGATTGAGAGTCACTGCCCTACATCCAGGGTTGGTCTGCTGAAGACTAGGTATACTGTGAGAATTTGCAGTACAGAGGTGACTTGAGGCTATTACAGCAGGAATGCTGACTTGACCATGTGCTTGCAGTTTGAGTATATTGCCACTAGATGATGCCTTTGTTTGTTTAGATAAAAGTTGAGAATTTAGTGCAAATCTATTATCCAAATGGTTCTATAACTAACAATTACATTTTGAGAAACAATCCCCTTTCCTTTTAAAAGAAGGAAAAAGCCCATATGCACTTCTAAATTTATAACTGTTATATATTTCCTTAGTTTGCATTCCATGGTTAAGTATTGGTGTTCTCCAGCATAACTTCTCTTTGAGGTGACTTTCAACTTTCTAGCTCTGCTGTCTGCAGCAGATCTCCTGTGTGGCTGCCTGTTGGAGGCTTCCTCTGGAGTTCTCTAATCATGGTACTCACAGTCTCTAAAATGAGCTGTCTACACTCATTAAGAATGTTGAAATTGCAGACTTGTCTCAGGCTTTTGTAGTCCCATGACTGTTTCCTGCCCCGATCAGAATTAGCTAGGTACAAAGGGAAGCAGATTTCGCCCCTTTGGCAGAATGTCTGATTTTTTTCTGATTCTTCTCTCCCTCCCTTGGCTCTTCAGAGACTCTCAGTGGAAACTTTTTCCTGGGAACCAAATGCTAGGAGGCAGGAAGCCAGGGTTTTTATTTTTTATTTTTTATTTTATTTATTTATTTATTTTGAGACGGAGTTTTGCTCTTGTTGCCCAGGCTGGAGTGCAATGGCGCGATCTTGGCTCACCGCAACCTCCGCTTCCTGGGTTCAGGCAATTCTCCTGCCTCAGCCTCCTGAGTAGCTGGGATTACAGGCATGCGCCACCATGCCCAGCTGATTTTTTGTATTTTTTCGTAGGGACGGGGTTTCACCATGTTGACCAGGATGGTCTCGATCTCTTGACCTCGTGATCCACCCGCCTCGGCCTCCCAAAGTGCTGGGATTACAGGCGTGAGCCACTGTGCCCGGCCCTATTTTTTATTTTTTTATTTTTTTTATTGGCAGACATATAAAGAGAAAACGTACTTTTAACAGATAAACTGGTATAAGTCATAAGTCGTTCTCCACGGGAGGGAGTGGAGAAGGTTTGTGACAGACCCTGTGAGCCTTCATTTATGGCTGCCATGGATTACCCACACAGACACCATCTAAGAAAGCGGGGTTGCCTGGGAGAGGCCTCAGCCTTCTTCTGAGGAGCGCATTCCTGGGCATGTTGTTTCAGTTGTAAATGACATCTCACAATTTCACAAATCCTTTGCCAGCTGTAAGAACTCTATACAGCTGTTGGACTGTAGCTTTGTTTTCATTATGTCTTGGTATTTCTGTGGGAGGGTAGAGGAGGATGAGCAGATTTCTCATTTTAACAGATCTAGAAGCTAAGGGAGTGATTTGTCTTATAACTGCATCTAGAAAACAGACATTCATGGCACTGTTTTATGTAACATACTGCTTTTTCCCCTCTAAGAAAATAGAAGCTCTTCTGTATTTGTAAAGATTTGATACTGGAGATATCAAATATTTATTTATTCCAGTAAATAAATTTATTTATTCCAGTAAATCTTTTTCTCCCTGGAATACTTGGGGATGGAAAGACATGGGTGCTTGGATATATGCTAGGCTGATTATTATGTATATGGGTATTTAGGGAAGTATGAACCTGATTTGACTGAGCTAAAGGGAAAAGGATTTGTTCATGCCAGGTCGTAGTGGTGTTGGGAATCTAGAGAAGCAGAGATCACACGTGCATGCACACATATACACACAGAGTATTGTGTTGGTTGTAGAAATCCTTTATTATGTGGGGTAGTTCTTCATCTAGCTTCTCTTTGCTTGTGCTCAAAGAATATTTATCGGTCAGGCGCACTCGCTCATGCCTATAATCCCAGCAGCTTGGGAGGCTGAGGTGGGCGGATCACCTGAGATCAGGAGTTTGAGACCAGCCTGGACAATGTGGTGAAACGCCATCTCTACCAAAAATACAAAAATTAGTTGGGCATGGTGGCGTTCTGGGTGCCTGTAATCCTGGCTACTCGGGAGGCTTAGGCAGGAGAATTGCTTGAATCCAAGAGGCGCAGGTTGCAGTGGGCCGACATCATGCCACTGCACTCCAGCTTGGGGTGTTAGAGTGAGACTTTGTCTCAAAACAACAAAAAAAAAGAATGTTTATCAAGGTTTTATTCTCTTAAGGGCTATAATTAATAAGTGTTTCATTTTTATCTTATTGGCAGGGTAACAAGGATTATCATCTACAGACATGCTGTGGGAGTCTGGCTTATGCAGCACCTGAATTAATACAAGGCAAATCATATCTTGGATCAGAGGTAATTATTCATTCATTAATTCATTATATAATCAACAGACATTTATCTTGGTGACCTGTAGTGAGTGAGTCAGGCACTGTGCATTGGGGGTGTAATGATGAAGCAAGAAATAGCCTTGTTAAAGAGTTCAGTGTATTTGGAGAGTGACATGTATACTTATAAATGAAATGAATACCTTGCAATAAATATAGTAATACATAATATACTTATGAAGCAGGGGTATTTCTGGTGTCCTTGTAGTTGCTTTTGTATTAAATAGTGCCATAGTTTGGACTGGTTAGTCCAGCTGGATAGAACAAAAGACCACGTAGCTGGAATTATAGACATGCACCACCACGCCTGGCTAATTTTATATTTTTAGTAGAGATGGGGTTTCACCATGTTGGCCAGGCTGGTCTCGAACTCCTGATCTCAAGTGATCCACCCACCTTGCCTCTCAAAGTGCTGGGATTATAGGTGTGAATCACCATGCCCGGCCCCTCTTGTATTTGATGAAGTCATGTAGTTCACATTTTCCTGTGCAACCTCTTTGCTTTGAATATTTTGTTTGTTTTTTGAGATGGAGTCTCACTCTGTCGCCCAGGCTAGAGTGCCATGGTGGGATCTTAGCTCACTTCAACCGCTACCTCCCAGGTTCAAGTGATTCTCCTGCCTCAGCTTCCCGAGTAGCTGGAATTACAGGTGCCTGCCACCATGCCTGGCTAAATTTTGTTTTTAGTAGAGACAGAGTTTCACCATGTTGACCAGGCTGGTCTTAAACTCCTGACCTCCGGTGATCCACCCGTCTCAGCCTCCCAAAGTGCTGATATTACAGGCTTGAGCCACTGTACTGATCTGCTTTGAATTTAATGCCATGGATGAGTGTCATGCCATCATGTCTCAATTTATAGATTAAATATTTGACATCTCTGAGGCACAAATGGTCAATTTCTGACCTTCTACAACTTGGAAGAGTAATCAGGTGTTTTCTTCAAAGCAAATTGTTTACTTGAGGGATCATAATAGAATCCTAATAATTTGATCTGATTTGGTAGATAGGACTAGGGGTTAGATTTGGGTTACCTTCCCATTGTCTGATGTCTTATCATGCCAAATCCAGCCTAGCCTACTGGAAATTATTCTCTATTAAGTGTTAAGAGTCCAGATAGAGGAGAATGCATTGAACTGGTAGTATAAGTACTACCCAGATATGTGATGCTGCTTAAGTTGTTTTAACTCTGTTTTCTCTTTCTTTGTTTCTTTTCTTTTTTTGTTTTCTTCTTTCCTCTTTTTCTTTTTCTTTTTTCTTAAACTTTCCTAAGCCTGGGAGGCAAATGTTGCAGTGAGCTGAGATTATACCACTGCACTCCAGCCTAGGTGACAGAGTAAGACCCTGTCTCCAAAAAAAAAAAAATTTCCTAAGACTCAAATGAGAGTAAGAGCTATGACTTCTCAGCTAATGGAGGCATCATTACTGACAAAGGTCAAATAATGCTTGAATAAATAGTTACTGCTTAGGACTCATGGAACACATGGATATCCCATATAAAGGTTAAGATCTTTTCTGGGATTTTGATATTTGTAGGACCATTTGTGCTGACAGCTTAATTTCTAGTCTCTCTCTCTCTCCCTCCCTCCTTCCCTCTCTCTCTCTCCCCCTCTCTCCATATATATATTATATATATAATATACATATAATATATATAATATACATATAATATATATAATATATAATATATAATATATATTATATATAATATATAATATATATAATTTTATTTTATTTTATTTTTTTTCTTTTGAGACAGAGTTTTACTCTGTCACCCAGGTTGGAGTGCAGTGGTGCAATCTTGGTTCACTACAATCTCTGCTTCCTGGGTTCAAGTGATTGTCCTGCCTTAGCCTCCTGAGTAGCTGGGACTATGGGCATGTGCCACCATGCCAGCTAGTTTTTATAATTTTAGTAGAGACCGGGTTTCACCATGTTGGCCAGGCTGGTCTTTAACTCCTGACTTCAGGTGATCTGCCCAACTTGACTTCCCAAAGTGCTGGGATTACAGGTGTGAGCCACTGTGCCTGCCCGTCTCTATATTTAAAAAGTCAATCATTGAACTTTAATAAGTTATTTACATAGAGACGCTTTTATAGTGCAGCTTAGTCATAGTTGCTGATTAACAGTAAATTTTAAGACATCCTCATGCCTGTTTACATAATCTTCATATGTAGTCTAAACCTTCAGTAGCACTGTAGAATTGTCTCATGTTCTTATCATGCCAAATCTAGCCCAGCCTACTGGAAATTATTTTCCATTAAGTGTTAAAGTCCAGGTAGAGGAGAATGCATTGAACTGGAAGTCAGGAGGCTTTCTGGATGGCCTGCAATTGACTGGGTGACTTCAGACAAGCCTCCTTAGCTTCAAGTTCTCTGACTGTAGAATGAGCAGGTTGAAATGGTTGATCTCTGAGCTCTTTTTTAGCTTTGTGACAATTCTGTCAATCTATTAAGAGTCCTGCCATTCTGAAATATGTTTGAATTTTTGTTTCAGTGATATTTTCCCCCCCCTCTTTCTCTCAGGCAGATGTTTGGAGCATGGGCATACTCTTGTATGTTCTTATGTGTGGATTTCTACCATTTGATGATGATAATATAATGGCTTTATACAAGAAGATTATGGTGAGTATTACAGGCATAGAATTTCAACGTAGAACTTATTTTTGCATTTTGAGGCAGAGTCTCGCTCTGTCGCCAGGCTGGAGTGCAGTGGCGCAATCTCGGCTCACTGCATCCTCCGTCTCCTGGGTTCAAGTGATTCTCCTGCCTCAGCCTCCCGAGTAGCTGGGACTACAGGCATGCGCCACCACTCCAAGTTAATTTTTGTATTTTTAGTAGAGACGGTGTTTCACCATATTGGCCAGGATGATCTCGATCTTTTGATCTTGAGATCCGCCCACCTCGGCCTCCCAAAGTGCTGGGATTACAGGAGTGAGCCTAAATGTGGAACTTTTCTATACTGCATAGTATCATGTCCATTCATAATTGCACAAAAGCAGGCAAAAAAGTTACTTTATGCGGCTGGGGAGATGTAATAGACTTCTATGCTGTTAGAAGTCAAAATCATAGTTATTCATTGGGAGTGGTTAAGGAGTGGGCTTCTGTTCTGTTTCTTAATTTGGGTGTTGGTTACACTTGTTTATGGTAGTTCCCCCTTGTCAGCGGTTTTGCTTTCTCCAGTCTTAGTTACCCATGGTCAGCTATGGTCTGAAAATAGGTGAGTATAATACAATAAGATATTTTGAGGGAAAGAAGCACATTCACATAACGTTTTTAACAGTATATTGTTATAATTGTTTTATTATATTATATTATATTTTTTGAGATGGAGTTTCGCTCTTGCTGCCCAGGCTGGAGTGCAGTGGCGTGATCTCGGCTCACCTCAGTCTTCGCCTCCCTGGTTCAAGCGATTCTCCTGCCTGAACCTCCTGAGCATCTGGGATTACAGGCATGTGCCACCCTGCCTGGCTAATCTTTGTATTTTGAGTAGAGGTGGGATTTTTCCATGTTGGTCAGGCTGGTCTCGAACTCCCGACCTCAGGTGATCTGCCCACTGCAGCCTCCCAAAGTGCTAGGATTATAGACATGAGTCACCACGCCTGGCTAATTGTTCTATTTTATTATGTTATTGTTAATCTCTTACTGTGCATAATGTATAAATGAAACTTTATCAAAGGTATATATGTATAGAAAGAAACATAGCATATATGGAGTTCAGTACTATCTGTGGTTTCTGGCATCCATGGGGGTCTTGGAAAGTGTTACCTGCTGATAAGGGGGACTATAGTATTCAGTTTTTAAAAACTTATTGAGGTATACTTTTGTGATATACAAACTTCTGTATATATATTATACTTCCTCAATGAAAAGCATAAGAAAACAAAAACAGAATGCTGTGTCAAATCACATTTTCCTTTTGACTTATAAAATAAGAACCTCCTCTTTTCTTTTTTTGGAAGATAAAATTTTGGCTTCAAGGTATGATAAAACCACAATTGAGATCACCTACTGTAAGCTTTGTTAAAATCCTATATATCAGAGACGGAGAGTAGATTAGTTGTTACTTGAGGTTGTGGTTGGAGAGTGACTACCTGAGGGTATGGGGTTTCTTTTTGGGATGATGAAAACGTTCTGGAATTAGAAAGTGGTGATGATTACACAACTTTGTGAATGTACTAAAAGCTACACGTTTAAAGGGTGACTTTTATGGTATGTGAATGATAGTCAAAAAAATTAGAAAAAAATCACAGGTAAGAAGGAAAATAAGAAAATTATTTTAAAGAATTAATATTTCAAAGCAAGCTAACAAAAGAAGGCATGTAAGGAGGAAGAAAGAACATCTTGTGTTCCATAGCAAACCAGGGTCAGACTGGCAGAGCAGCTTCTCGGATTGCTTTTCTCTCTTCTTTTTTGAGACAAGTTCTTACTCTGTCACCCGGGCTGCAGTGCAGGGGTGCGATCATGGCTCACTGTAGCCTCGACCTCCTGGGCTCAAGTGATCCTCCCACCTCGGCCTCCCAACTAGCTGGGACCACAGGCACTGCACCACTACACCCAGCTAATTAAAAAACTTTTTTGTAGTGATAGGATCTTCCCTATGTTACCCAGGCTGGTACAAACTCCTGGGCTCAAGTGATCCTCCTACCTCAGCCTTCCAAAGTGCTGAGATGACAGGCATGAGCTACTGTGCCCGGCCTTCTGAATGCTTCTTGAATCCAATTCTGTTTAACAAATATTTCCTGATTTTCTGCTTTATATAAGGTACTGAATGGCATAGAAAAGATCTATGAAACATTATTATCATTTACCAGGCCTGATTTCTTGTTGGAGACAGGTATAAAGCTATCTAAAAAGGGCAAAGGATGAGGAATGCCATGTTATAACAGAGTATAAATGAAGTTAATGTAGGAGTTGGGGTGGGATCTGGGAGGGCATCTTAGAGGAAGTGAGGGTTGAGCAGGTCTTTAAAAGAAGGGTAGAAGTACAGGTATTGATCGACTTATGACCTATGCAACTTACGACCATTCGACTTTACGACCACAATCGCTAGCCACTACTGCTCCGCATCTGGCAGCGCAAACGTTACCCAGCTGGGCGTGCGACAGTGCGGACCAGCTTCTGGCAGCACTACCATCTCTGTGTGCATATAGCCTACTCAACTTATGACCAAATCGTGTTACGACCGGTGTGTCGGAACCAATTGTGATCGTAAATCGAGCACTATCTGTACTTCAGAAAGTACTTCAGAAAGGGTGAAAACATTCTGATAGTACAGATAGTATAAGCAAAAGCATAGAAGTGGGAGAGATGTGGGGAGGAATGGGCAGTTTTATGTAGCTGGATCATTGGATCTCTAACAGTTAGATGAGGAGACTACCTAAAGCAACTCTCACTTCCAGAAAGTAGTGCACAGTGTTGAAAGTAGTAGTCCCGGTTGGATTGTTGCCCACTCTGTAGAACACCACGTCTAAGGACACAGAGTTCAATCTTCAACTTTTATTTGACTTATAGTTTTTCTGATATCTCACATTGGAAGATTCTTTAAAGTTGATTCCCAAGCTTCAGAGAATAGCTTTGGGAGGAGATGGAATTGCAGTAGTTGCAGCAACTTGAAGGCTAAGGAGCTCTGATTCTGCAGGGTCAAAGAGAAGCAGTGTGAGCGGTAGCTGTTAACACTGCTTTGAGAGCTGTGTGTGTGCAGGCTTCTCCTTAGGAAAGGGAGATAAATGGGGCAGTGGGCTGGAGGACGGCCTCCTAGAGCCTGCTGTTATAGCGAAGACAGCTTGTTTTCTTCCCATCCCTTCTTGAGCCTTCTCAAAGCTTTGCTGGGTAGCACTCGTTGCTTTGGCTTCTGCATACTGACTGTGGCAGTTCCTGACTCCATAGAGCCACACCCAACTCGTCAACATCAGGATACAGAGGAGAGTAGGGTTAGGATCACTTTATGGCTTTGGCTTCAGTTAAAGAAGTAGTCTTTGGGCAGCTCAGTAACATTTATCCACTTATACTTTTACAAAATATTAGGTTGGCTTCTTAAATTCTTCCCTCTTTTTGCCACTCTTTTCTGTAAAGCAGAGCTGTGTTTCTTATTCTGAAATAATTGTATTCTAGTACAGGTTGAGTATTGCTAATCTGAAAATTCAAAATTCAGAATGCTCCAAAATCTGACACTTTTTAAGTGCTGAGATGATGCTCAAAGGATATGCCTACTGGAGCATTTCAGGTTTCGGATTTTCGGATTTGGGATATTCAGTCAGTAAGCATATGTACATATTCCAAAGCCTAAAATCCAAAACACTTCTGTTCCCAAGTATTTGGATAAGGGATGCTCAACTTGTGTTATAAGCTGCTAGGACATTTTATCCTATTCTTGTTTTGGGAACTCCATCTCAAAGAAATAAGCTGTCAGATTTCTTCAAAGTGAACTAGAATCTGCTAGCTGGTGTAACATGGAATATTACACCTCCTAGAATTCTACAAAGACTATGTGGAGACAGATAATGAGAGAATTTCACTGTTGGAAAGCACCTGGGAAATCATGTTTTCTGACCCTTGCTGCTTGTTTTAGATAATCCTCACTAAAATGTCTCCTGCCTTAGCTGTGTCCATGTAATCTCTCTCAGGGTGGGGGAAGCCTTAGCTAATGGATTAGTTCTTCCTAACCCTAGGTGCACATTAAAATCACTTGGGGTGCTTTAAAAAGTGTTTGTTCCACCATGGCATGTGTATACCTATGTAACAATCTGCACATGTACCCCAGAACTTAAAGTATAATTTAAAAAAGTATTGATTCCAACCTCCAGAGCAATTAAATCAGAATATCATTGATGGTTTTGAAACTCACAATCTTCAGAATCTCTACTTTCTGTGGATTTTGGTAAATTATTTAGCCTCTATGTGTCTTAGTTTCTTTGCGTGTAAAATGGATGAAATAACATGGCATAGGGTTGTTGTGAAGATTAAATGAGTTAATTCATGAAAAGCATTTAGAGTGGTACTCAATAAATGTGCTATTATTTAATTAATTAATTAATTTATTTATTTTTCTGTGATAGAGTCTCGTTCTGTCACCCAGGCTAAAGTGGAATGGGGCGATCTCAACTCACTATAACTCCCAACTCCTGGGTTCAAGTGATTCTCCTGCCTCAACCTCCTGAGTAGCTGGGATTACAATAATCATGGATTAACATGCCTGGCTAATTTTTGTATTTTTAGTAGAGATGGGGTTTTGCCATGGCATTTGTTTTGCCATGTTGGCCAGGGTGGTCTCAAAGTCCTGACCTCAAGTGATCCACCCACCTTGGCCTCCCAAAATGCTGGGATTACAGGCATGAGCCACTACATCTGGCAGTTATTTTTGAGACAGAGCCTTGCTCTGTTGCCCAGGCTGGAGTGCAGTGGCGCCATCTCGGCTCACTGCAAGCTCTGCCTCCTGGGTTCAAGCGATACTCCTGCCTCAGCCTTCCGAGTAGCTGGGATTACAGGTGAGGGCTACCATGTCCAGCTAATTTTGTATTTTTAGTAGAGACAAGGTTTTATTATGTTGGCCAGGCTGGTTTTGAACTCCTGACCTCAAGTGATGCTCCCACCTTGGCCTCCCAAAGAGTTGGGATTACATGCAT